TCGCCACTTTTCTTGTGCGACTATCTTCCTGGTGCTCCTCTTACTCTCTCTGTTCTATTGCACCTCTCTCTCACTCTCTCTCTCTCTCTCTCTTAACACCGTCCATTGCATGGCATTATGCCATGTTCTTGTTCTTCCTCCACTTCTCTCCCACTCATCCCTCTCTCACACTGTTTCAGGCTCCTCTCATTACCACTTGATAGCTGATAAGAGTTTCCAACAAGAAACTAAAAGCAACTAAAACAAAAAACAGACTGACCAAAAATAAGTGGAACGACAGTGCAACAGAGAGAATGCAGCAGAGTGAGAGGGAAGGAGGGGGGTGGTAGAGAATGGCGAAGTGCTTTTTGTGCAAGCTCACACACGCACTCACATGCACACATGCATGTACGTAGATGTGTGTATGTCTGCTTAGAAACACCGTTAAACGATGACGGCAAGAACAAGCAAAAAGCCGTTGCTCAAACTCTGCCCAACATACGTCGACAGACAGCAGCAGCAGCAGCAGCAGCACCACCACCAGTAACAGTAACAACTCAACTTTCAATAAGAAGGAGAAACGAAAGACAAGCATCTCTTGCCTGATGCATTTGATACCCTGTACAACACAAAGAGCAGTTCGTATTATTTTGAACTGCACAGAAAACTTCCTACCTCTTTATACGACAATGTGATGAAAATTAGACGAGCATACCCTCTTTGCCAGGGTAGCAATACGACAGCAGCGACAGAAGCAGCAGCAAGAAAATTGTTCAAGAAAATTCTTATAAGAAATTAGCAAAAACGATGACGACAGCAGCAAGCAGGCTGGCCTGCTGGCTGGCAGGCAGGCAGCGGCAGCGGCAGCGACAACAACAACGCGATGCAATGCGATTTTGCCGTTAGCTTTTTTCCCCATTTACTTTTTCTTGCAGTTTTTTTTTTGCGTCGCAAAGCTCAAGAACTGGCTGCATGATAATGCGAAGAGCGAGAGAGAGAGAGTGAGCAAGAGGGACAGTGTAAAAGAGAGCAGCTGAGAGCAGCGCAAAGCCAGAGAGAGCGCAGAAAAGGCAAGCAAGGCGCGACTTGCAGTGAGATGGAAGCAGATGCAGCGACGCTCGGCTGCGACAGAGGCAGACAATTGCAACATAAGCAGGGCAGAGCAGTAAACAGGCGACAAAAGTGTCAAATTATTATAGCTGATACATGTGATAAATTTTTTTTAATTAAATTGTGACGTTTTCTGGAAAATCTTGTGTTTAAAAAAAAAAAACCTTAAAGCACTCAAAGTTTACATTGTTAAAATCTCACAAATTTGGGTAGATGTGTCATACAGCCAGACACATTTCCCTACTTTGGCAGTGACGAATTTGTCGTCTGTGCGACAGTGCACAAAGAAGAGCATTCCTCAGACTCTCAGCCCGATGCTTGTGCTCTAGTCTCTTTTTCTTTCGCTCTTTCTCTTTCGCTCTTGCTGCCCAGCGAAACCAAACACAAGCAAAGGCAACAGAGCAAAAAGAGAGAGAGAGAGAGGCAGAGAGAATCAGTAAACGACAACAAAACACAATAATGCAGAGACAAGAGAAAAAAGAAGCAGCGCTGCAGCAGCGGCCAGTCAGATGAAAAAAAAGCAACAAAAATTATTGCGTTGTTCATAAATCAGTTGCAATTAAAATTAACTGGTCAAAGAAAACAAAAAATGCAAAGGCTAATTAGATTTGTGGACGAAGCCGGGCCGAACCGGACACTGGCCAGCCAGCCGGCCGGCAGGCCAGAGTAAAACGAATGGCCGGTCGTTCGTGTATGCGCTCCTCGGCTGTTAAACAATGCATTTTATACCGTCGATATTTACTGTTGGTTTACTTTATGCTAATTACATGCCAAACGCATTGGTGTGCATCACGTAAATTCTTGCTGTGAGAAAACCCAAAAAGTAAACAAATCTACATTGTTTTTCCCCCTGATCAAAGAAAACGATTGCATGGAGACTTGAGCCCTAAAAATGTTCGGCCTAAAACGCAACGTGCGGCAGCAGCTTGACCGAATGTCGCCGACGCAGCTGACAGACTCGCCGGTAGACAGCTAGCCGGCACGCGATTCCTCTTTTCTATTTTGTTCTCTCGGCGGTCGGCGTCCGGTGCGAGACGGGGCGGGGCAAAGAGACTTTGAATTGCTGCATTCGATTGCTATTATTATTATTAATATTATTACTGCACTTCTTCACATATTCCACACACACACACACACACACACACAAAAGAAACACAACTTTTGACATTTTCTCGACAAATTTTGATATTTTTTGTTTAATTTTTGTTTGCAGAACACGCGCAATGTCGGCGTTTTTTGTTTAATAACAACAATAGGTAGCGGGGTGGGGTTCTTTTTCGACTGTGTAGATTCACAAATAAATTGCCAGTTTGTTGCTGTTGCAATCACAAAACACATAAAACAACAACAAAAATGAATGTGAGCACGAGAATGAGGTGGATGTGGAGTGAGCCGAGCGAAACACGCGCTTTTCCACCCACAAAAAACGTATACGCCACGCCATGCCACGCCACGTTGTCTCTCGCGCCTTTCACATTACGTATACGCCCTGTGGCATCACCACCATTCATATTGCGTATTCGCCTTGTGGTGGCAGCAGCAGCAGCACGTTGTTGCCACCGCTTCGAATAATCATCATCATCATCATCATCGTCAGCATCGTCATCATCATCTTTCAACTCCTCGTTTCTGCCTCGTCTCTTCTAACCCCACAAAACACGAGCGACTCTCGAGAGGCATCGTTGCCGTGTCCGACGACGTCTAAATGCGCACTAAAACATTTTTCCCGAGAAAAACACACGGTCCATGAAGACCAGAAGAACCGGCACAAAACGGAATGAAATACAAAAAAAAACTAAAAAAATATAAAATAAAATGGCAAATGCCAAAATCCTTTTTTTTTTGCTTTTTCGCCAGACTCTCTGCCGGCGCTCTGGCTTTGGTAACAGAGACGCAGCAGCCCAAGACAGTCGCTCCATCGCTCTCTCTCTCTCTCTTTTTTCTCCTTTTCTCTGTCTGTCTCTGTCTCTGTTTGTGTGTGTTCGCCGTCAGCAGCAGCACGGATGAACGAACGTCAAATAGAACATGTGCTAATGAATTATCAACTGTCAGCAGAGTTTCCACGGAACAGCAGCGTGCAAAGTGCAAACACTCACGCGGACATGAATGAAGGCGAGAAAAAGGAATCGGGTGGGAGCAGAGAAGGAACAAGATGTGTGAATGGAAGCGACAGAGAGACAGAGAAAGAGTTGGACAGAGTTGGCTGTTTGGGTGGATGGCGGATAGCCTACTTATAGAATGTGTTGCCTGCACATGACTGGCAAATGCAATCGACGATGATCTCTAAATGAATGCCAAATATAATGAATAAGTGCGTTCACACATGCACACACACACACACATGGAACTCAGTGAATGCAGTCAGCAATCTGTTAATCTGTTCCTGTAAATCTGTCATGCACAGGCATGTATTTTGTTTTTGCTTTCGGGCTTGAGAATTAGCAATCTTTGTCAACGAAACATCGCCACTAACTGCTCGTATTTTGTTATGGATACGTCGATAAAGTGCCAACAATCGATGCTCAATCAGCTTTCATCCAGTGCTTACTCCGAAGGTAGTTCATTCGCTGTACAAATTACCCATAAACGAGTGGTTTTAGAGGCGAACCATAAAATAAACGAGTAATGTCTCAAGCTCTACAGAAATCGGTAGAGTGAAAGGCATGTTCCAGCGCAAATTGCGGATCAAATCAATATGAATCAATATTGCAAGTGAAAAACCCACCCAAAAGCATCCTCCGAATCATTTCGCTTTACTTTTCCATCTCTCATCGCATGTCAACTCATCTCAGCTCTTTCTCATGGCCCCATAATATCGTCCCCGGAAGGCGCAATCGTCTCCATTCTGCTCTTCGGCCACCCCTTTCCTCTCACTCAGTTGCACGAGCATACAAAATATGTTGCACGCTTTTAGGCGCATAAACGCAACTTTTTTGCTACGTAATATGCATTTCCCCGCCTCTGTGTGAGTGCCACACTGTGTTCTTGTGTGTGTGTGGAAAGGTAAATGACATCAATGGAGGTTGGCTGGCTCCTCCAGGCCGCCGCCCCCGTCTGCTGTCTAGGCCTGGGGAGGACTCCGTCTCCCGCTCTCTCTCTCTCGCTCTCTCTCTTTCTCTCTCTCTTCCTTTTGCTCTGGTGTTTACTTTTTGCTTGCATTTTGGTCTCTGTTTCCGTTTTGCTGCTTGCCTGCTTACAGTTTCCGGCTTTTGGCCAACACAAACACATACGCAGGGGCGGAGAGCAAGGCTTATTCTGCGCGCGCCTAAGTACATGCAATGATTTTTTATATTCTTCTTGTTGCTCAAAGAACACACCGCAAAAGGCTAAAGATGAAGGATGAAAGATGCTGGCCGGAAGGAAGGCAGGAAGGCAGAGACAGGCACAGGCAGGCCGTAAGCCAACAAGACATCGCCCATCTGTTTGAGGACGACAGGCACGCAGGCAGGCAGGGTTTCGGGCCTCTACAAACTAATCTCGACCCCAAAACCCTTCCTTGAATGCAGTTTTAGGCTAAGAAAACTTTTCAAAAACTACATCATTTGCCCCCCATTGTTTGATGATAATAGAAATCAATGAGAATTTGCTTTTTGTTGCTGCCGGAATAAACTTTTGGGGCCCTGAGGGAGAGAACTTGTTTGGCCCCTTGCCAACAAGAAATATGGAAATTTATCCCCAATTGAGTTTTGGGCATACAGAGTTTGGTGATCCTCTCGAAAATGCATTGGGGCAACTTATCGATTATTCAATTGCCGAACTGCAGGCAACTGCAGAACTTTGCAACAGAAATTGAATTCAATTGAATTTGAATTGCATTTTTGGATGGTGGAAAAGGTATCCCAGTCCCCGTATTCAAACCAGACTTAAAGCTGTCGCTGTGCATATCATTTAATGAAGGTGTAAAAACGTACCACTGGGATCGTGATGATGCGGCGGTCCTTGTTGCTGGCTGTGATGCTGATGATGGTGATGGGGATTCGGGGCACAGAAGGCACTCGATCCGCCGCCTATTGTCGGTGGTGGCACAATACCCGATGGCGGCGGGGGATAGGCACTGGCCCGATATGAGGGCGGCGGCGAGCCAACATCACATCGATCGGGTGGCACTGGCACGGCGACGGGCACTGGCACCGGCACTGGCACCGGCACGGGCACTGACAGTGGCGCCCCAGTTGGCGGTGGCCCATAATGTGGCACCTGGGGCGGCGGTGGTCCTCCGTAGTGATGCGGCGGCGGTGGCGGTCCGTGGCCATACTCGGCCGCCTGCTGGTAGTGATGGGCGTGCGCTGCATGTGCGGCATACTGATGCTGGTGATGCATGTGCAGCATGCCGCCAGCACCGCCCGGACCCAGCTGGTGGGCATGGTAGGCAGCGGCTGCCGCGGCCGCTGCTGCAGCGGCGGCATACGAGGGCGGCGGTGGGCCATGATGCTCGGGCACGGCATGCTCCGTGTGTAGCCCCAGGTCGGGGGCATGGTACATGCCAGCACTCAAATGTTCGCCGGGCAGCAGGACATGCGGTGCTGGTGGTTGAATCGGCAGCGGCGGCGAGCTATGCGCTGTGATTGGCAGCGGGATAAGGGGAGAGGTAGATAACGGTCAATGATAATGGGAAAATGGGAAAATTCTAAATCTATAACTCACCCTCGCTGAGGCCAGAGCTGGCGCCGGGCGGCAGCATGCTGGAGAGCGCACTCAATGGCGTATAAGATTTTGGTGGCTCCACGGAGCCGGGCCGCAGCACGCGCTCCTCGGTGACGCTGGACTGCACACGGTATTGCATTTTGCAGTAGGCCTCTTGGGCGGCACCATTGCTGGCATTAACGTAGACGCCGGTGATGGTGACATCTGTGTCCTGGACAATGACAACGCTGGAGGAGGTGGGTCGACTGCAGTCCTTGGCATCCTTGGTGCTGCTCGAGTCACGGTAGCCGCCGCCGCTGGTGGTTGTGCCGCTGCTGCTGGTTGTTGTGGTGGTGTCCGTGTTCGTCTCCTTTGTCTCCTTCGAGTACTTGGAGTCGTTGCTCTCCTCGATGAGGATGTGACTGCTGGGCGGCACCTTGTCCTTCAGCGATGATTCCTTCAGCTCTCGCTCGCGCTCACGTTCGCGCTCACGTTCCCGCTCACGCTCTCGCAGCGATTCCTTGGTCTCCTTGGGCTCCTTCTTGATGTGCACATCCGTTTTGTGTGGCATCATCTTGGTGGACTGCTGGACGACGGCCTGCATCTCCAGCTCGTCGTAGCTCTCGAAGCTGCTGCAATCGCTGGCCAGATTCTTGTCCAGATGCCGCTCCACCTCGTAGGTGGCCGCCACAATGGCGCTGGCGTTCAGGCTGGCCATTCGCTTTCTCGCCAGGATGCCCTTGTAGTCTCCAATTAGCTCCTCGGTGAATGGTGTCTTTCGCTTCTTCGGCACTTGCTTTGGCGCTGGCTTCGGTTTCTCTGACTTCTTGGCATCTGTTGCCTCGCTGCCGCCTGGAGCTGCCGCCGCCGCTGCCTTCTTTGGTGGCGGCTTCTTTTGCAGCTTCTTTTTCTTGGGCTGTGGCAGAGCGGGCAGCTGCATTTCATCTCCCTCGCTATCGCTATCAAACTCCCAGTGCTTGCCCACGCCTCGGCCACCGGGCACAATTCGCAGCTCCCTGCGTGGCTCAATCTCTTTGGGCGGTGGCGGTGCTGGTGGCGTTGATGGCGTCGACGAGGACTCCTTGTCTTTGTCCTTGTCCTTGTCCTCTCCATGACGCGGCGACTCCTTGTGATTGTTGTCATCGTCACTGCCATCCAATGTCCGTATCCGTGGCGGCTGTTGTGTCGCCTTCGACAGTCCCAACTCGTGGGCGGTGCGCGATTCATTCTCGTAGAGGCACTGTACCTTCGCCAAAGCATTCAGCGAGGCCATGCGATGCCGCTTGGGTCCGCTGTAAGCGCTCAGCTTTTTCTCATCCTCGGAATCGCTGCTCTCCCCAGAGCTATCGCTGTCAGGGCTATGATTGGCCGCTGCCGTTGCCGCCGCCGCTGCTGCTGCTGCTGCTGCTGCAGACTTTCCCGCTGGTGGTTTCTTCTTGCCGGGCGGTGGCTTTGTCGGCGAGGGTGATGAGGGTGTGGCCAGCTTTCGTTTCGCTTGCTTCTTGGCCGTGGCTGTGGCTGTGACTGTGACTGGGGCACTGATCTTGCTTGGTTCGGACTGTGCGTCTTTTGTGGCCGCTGTTGGCTTATCCACTTTCTTTTCTTTATATTTTTCCTCCTCCTCCTTCTTCTTCTCCTGATCCTCCTCCTGCTCCTTGATCTGCTGCTCCACCTTGGGCTTGGCCTCCTCCTTCATCTCCTGCCTCTGCTCCTGCTCCTTTTGCTGCTCATTCTCTGTCGGCTTTTGCTCTTCGTTCGGTTTCTCCTTTGGCTGCTTCAGCGGCTTGTTATCCTCCTCGGAGAACTCCCGCAACTGCTTCAAAGCTGGCAGCACCATCTTGATGGGCTCCTCATCCTCGGAGCCCGACTTGAAGTCGTAAATATCCTTGGCCCCCGCTCCGCCTTGACACCACGAGGGCATTGCCTTCTGGTGGCCACCAGCTGCACTCTGCTGCTGCAGGCGAACCTTCGATCCTGCCGAGGTTTTCGTGTACTTGATCTTCGGTCGCTGTTTTGCTGCTGCTGGCGGTCCAGGACCCTCCACGGGTGTCGGTGTGGGTGTGGGTGTCGGTGTCGGTGTTGGTGTCGGCGTGGGCGTCGCTGTCGGCGTTTCTGTTGGCGTCCGATTGGGCGTTGGTGTTCTTGTCCTTGCTGCTGTCGCTGTGCCAACAATCTCCTCCAGCTCCATTTGCACGGGCTCCGTGTTGGAGTCGGGCAGTCGCTGTGTTGGATTCGTTGCCTTCTTCGTGGTCTTGGCCACCTTGGCGGCTGGTTTGGGGTGCTGTTCTGGTGCTGCTGATGCTCCCTTCTTGACTGCCACCTTGCCCTGTTTGGCGGCAGGTGTGGCAGGTTCTGCTGGAGCAGCTGCTGTTGGCGTCGGAGTTGGAGCTGCTGTGGGCGGTGCAGTCAGCGTCTCTACTTTTGTCTTCTTGGCGCTCGTGTGCGCTGCCTTCTTGGATCCTTTCGATCCTTGAGATTCCTGTGGCGTCACCTTCGAACTAGCATCGCTGGTGGATTTTGGCTCCGTTTTGGTCTCCGTCTTTGACTTCTCCTTCTCCTTGTCCTTCTCCGGGGAGGGTCGCGGCGGCCGTTTCACCGGCATCGTTTTGCCGGGATTGAGGCTGGCTATCACCTTGACAGCGGCTGCCCGCGACTTGGTCTTGACATTCTCCGAAATAGACGACTTGGATATGGAGCTGACGTTCAGGGGCCCCTCACCGCTTGGCATCAGATTGTCGAATCCGTGGATCTTGATGTCCAGATTTTTGAGCATCTTGTTGATGGCCCGCGCCTTGCCATCCTCCTGCCGCTCCTCGGGCGAGAGCTTGGGTGTTGTATTTGCGCTGGACTTGGAGCCACTGCCACTGCCACTGCTGGAGCTGGTGCTGCTCTCTGTGGCTATTGCTGCTCCGCTTACTCCTGCTGTTGAAGGATCCTTTGTCTGCCTCTTGCCCGATGCTGTCGCTGACGCTGATTTCTTTTCCTCCGTCTCCTCTGTGGGGGCTTTCACATGTTTCCCCACCCGTTTTTTCCCCGTCGTTCCGCACGCACTTGACGCCGCTGGGGCTGCTGCTGCCGCTGCTGCTGCTGTGGCCGTCGAGCGTTGGGCACGCTCAGCGACGCTGGAACGCTTCTTCGAGACCATCTCGTGGGGCTGCAATGAGAGCGGGTGGCCATGCCACACAAGGCATAAATAAAGTGCGGCACACAGCATAAAACAGTCGACTATGGGAATACCCTTTACGCAGATATATTGGGGGATAAATGGCAGAACGGAGGATACCACGTGGGTGTACAGGGTACAAACAAGAAGAGAGGAGCACAGGGGGAACCTCTCTCTCCTCCACCTCCACATCCTCTCTCATTTTTCCAGCGTTTATTTAGTTCAAGTGTCTGCACGTGACAAACAAAAGGGAATGAAAATGCTTGCTAGAATGTTCCCCCGAATGGGGGACGAAAGAGGAAACTCCTCTCTCTCTCTCTTTCTTTGGTAGGGGGAGCTGGCATGCTGGGCATAAAGAGGAATCCTCCCTTCAAGAGGAAACATTTGGGAAATCCTCAAAATTCTTATTGAAAAACTAGAAGTACAATTCAAGCACTTTTCGGGTTCGAGAAGATTCGGCAAAACGGCTAATGGTTAACGGTTTAACGGTCCCATCCATGCTTACCTCTCTCACTCTGTCTTGCTCGCTTTCACTGGGCCGCTATGGCGACTGCGGCGGCAACAACGACGACGGCGACGTTGACTTCGACGTCGATGTCCGCTGTTCTGCTGCTGCTGGTGCTACTGTTGCTGCTGCTGCTCAGCCACGCAACGGCACTCCTGGGCATCGGCAATGGCTCTGGATACCGTTGAACGATACCCATTTGGCGCTTCAATCGGGAAGTCGGTTAACCCGCTTCCCCAGTCCCACACACAAAAATATTTAAATGCACTTTGAACAAACGTTTTTCGTTGTTTGCTTATTGTTTTTTTTTTGATTTGTCTGTTTATGTTTGTTTGATTTTGTTGCACGTTTGGTTAATATTGCAATTGTTGTTGCATTTTGTTTGATTTTGATTTCCACAGCGGCCTGCAATACATACACACATGCATGTGTATACACGTGCGTGAGTGTGAGTGTGTGCAAATAAACATAAACGTAAACAATTTTATTTCGTCACAAAAATTATGCAGCACGCACACAGCCACACGTACGCGTACTCTCTTTCTCACACACACGCACAGAGGAAGAAATCCCATTCACGCAGACTCACACACATGCATACATACAAATATGCACAGGGACAAGGTATATTCAATTGTATTGTAAGGCAATTCCTGCTCTCTCTACTCTACTCTCTCCAGCTAGGAGAGACCGCTCTTTCGGTGGGACTTTTCTTTTTGGCCACTTTTTCATATGTTTCCCACTCAAACAAGTTTTGGGTCTCGCGCTTTTGCACTGCATCACCTTCCAAGTAATATAGCATGCACACACACACACACACACACACATACACACAGACCAGCCCATAAACAGGGCGCGTTTTTCCCCAAAAACGTTCATTTACACTTTTTTTGTATATTGTAATTTCCAGTTATTTTCTCTTGTCTGCTTTTCTATATATGTATGCGAGGCTACCACCACCCCTCTGGCAACCATAACCCATCACTAACAAAAAACACCAGAGGCTGGGACTCCCTACCCTCCCTCCCTCCCAACGGCCCTAACACTCACACACACACATACGCGCCCGCACTCCCCTTTGTCGACAATCAAAAAGAAAACGCTTTGGCGTGCCACACACAAAATGATGCAAACATTTTCCCAATTGGCATTCGATTAAGCAAAAAAGGGAGTTATAAATGCGAATACGGGCGCCACCAACGCCACGAATCATTAATGCCGCTCGACCCTTACATTTGTATTTTACAGAATCGGCGATAATATCCGCGCGAACACGCACTCGATAAACAAATCACAAGAAAAAAAAATAAATAAACTAACGCACATTGGTGTATGTGTGTGGCAGTGGATTTATCGATAAGATATACTGCCTGACCCTCACAAATTTACGCAAATATACATACTCAATTTCAAAATATACCGTAAATATACCAATGCAAATCGTAGGGCTCGATTTTGATATTCTGCGTAATATTACTAGCTACCTGGTTCGCTCAGTTATGAAACTTTGAAACTCAAAAGTTATCTTTATTGTGTTGTTTATGGAAACAAGGTTTAGACAAAAATATGTGACTTTGTTACATGGCAACTACACGGTGACCACATATTTGTTACATGTCATCGACATATTTGAGGAGTATGTACGTTTTGTCTACCCTTTTCTTAATTGTTAACAACTATTCATACACTTATATACAAGTCGATCCAGATGCAGGTTTACCATGGGAAAAGAGGCTTAGAAAAAGCAAGGTTAACGCCACCCCATTACCACACACACCATGATTTACGCTCCATGCTCATTTTTGCGTTTCGTGTACGAGCTCTCGCTTGGGATATATCGATACTGAAACGATTTGGCGGTAACATCTGCTTATTTAAAAAAATGGCCATTTCATTTTCTTAAATTTACTTATATTTAAAATTATTAAAGGGTATTCAATTGCCTAAATGTGGCCTCCTTTGCTATTTAAAACCTTTGTAATGCGTCCTGGCCTTAAAAGGATCAATTTTTGGAGTAAGGATACATCCAATTCCGCCCACTCCTTTACTGTTGCCTTTCGTGCAAGTAAACTTTGGCAGAAAGTATGCCCCAAAGGTTTTCAATTGGGTTGAGATCAGGGCCATTTTAAAAGCGGAATTTTTCGGTCTTCAAAGTATGTTTTTGAGTACTTTGACACTTGGATCGCGGCATTATCCTGTTGAAAAATCCAGGAATCTCCATAATGCGCTTCCCCAACATCGACAAGAACTTCGTCCAATAGTTGAACATATTTCTCCGAGTTCATTTTGTGGGTAACGAAACATATTGGAAACATCTTTCCAGCAAAGCCAAATGCAGCCCACACCATTAGTGACCCTCCTTGAAAATTTCTAGAAATTTTCAACTGCTTTGGAGCCCTAACATCCCTATTGGTATCCATCTGGACCATCTAAATTGAATTTTTGTACATCTCTGAATATAATATTTTGCCACTCCAAGTCCCAAAACTTGTGATTTTGTGCAAACTCAAACAAATTTGTATTGTTGCCCGCCGACCAAGTAAACAAACACAGGATTTGGTCATTCAGCAAACAACATATAGAGGGTTCAAACTACTGAAAAACCTGCTGTCTACATTTGAGCACTCTATGAGTCGTTTGCTTAGTGCTTTAACCCTCTAAAGCCTGTGAGGGACACCCGCGCCGTTCGAGTGCTTTCAATAAACCGCCTGTTATATATATTCATAAATACTGCGTCGCCTCTTTACACTAAATAATTAGTCACAAAAAATCACGCTGGAGAAAACAACCATTAAAATAAAGCATATATTATTATATTATTGTGTGCCGAGATCGCTCATAGGGTAATGAGAACGTGTTAGATGTTAGTAGTTAAAAGAAAAAAAGGCGCGTGGCTCGACTGCACTCGCCATTGGCGTTTTTAGTTTTCTTTTAACTTTAAAATTGTAGATTTGGCAGGTTTTGGCCCTTTTGCGGGGGCGGGAGGAAAACGCCATTCCGTAGGGAATGACCTTATCTATCAGATCACCAAATTGGGATCCGATTGGATCATTCTTATAGCCACAATGAAGAAATTAATTTACAGTGGCTAAACCCACCCCGTCCCGCAGCTTATATTTGTTTTTTGCACATTCTCTCATTCACACTCTGCTTCTGCTGTGTGGCGGCCACGCGTGTTGGTGTGAGAAGTGTTGTAGATGTAGATGACAGATGACAGATGAAGAAAAATGTAAAATTTGACAAAACACCGCACGGAGCTTTGGTTCTGCTAAGTCTACAGAATGTTAGCTTGGGTTCTGTTAGTGTTACAAATTTCTCTGTTAAGCCTGCAGAAGGTTGCATTTGGCTCTGTTAAGCCTGCAGAAGGTTGCATTTGGCTCTGTTAAGTCTATAAATTGTTCCATTTGGTGAATAAAATAATTGTATTTGTATGTATGTAGATAACTTCTCTTAAAAACAGTGGTACTGTCTGACAATTGTTTGAACTTTGCAGGTTTGACGATGGAGCAGCAGCTGCGGCATCTCCTAGTCCCATTGGCTGCGCGACCAAACGACACGAGCACGTAGCACCTCCTCGATGGACGCCAGCAGGGCCGAGTCCTGGTCAAAGGCCGCTGTGAAGCCATCGGCCACCTCGCGGATAACCATCAGCGTCTCGCAGTACAGATTGCAGCCCTGCTTGTCGAACAGATCGACATCGCCGCCATCCTCCGCGAGGGTGCCATGCTCCTGGGTGGGTGCCTCCTGCGCCATCAGCAGGAATGGCTCGACAATGATGTTAAAGAGGCGCAATAGGAAGCCGCTGTCGCTGCCGTACTTCTCCAGGCTGGCAATGAAATGTCTGAGGAACTCCTTGAACACAACATTCGCGAGAATCTTCTTGGGCTGGGGCTGGGGCTGGGGCTGTGGGTGCACGCCTTCCCGCAGCATTTGTTCGGCCATGACGGCCGCATCGTTGCGCAGTCCCTCGTCATCGTCGACCAGCAGCAGGAGCACCAGCCGGGCATAGCGGCCGAGGATCTCCACATCGCCCAGGAAGAGCTGACGTCCGATTTCGGTGCCGATGCGCTCGCACAGTCCGATGGCCTTGTGCCGCAGATAGACTGGCTGTGTGGCATAGCTCAGGATCTGCGCATACTCCAGCAGCAGCACCCAGATGGACTGCGGCAACTCCGCCTGGCGGTCCATCAGCCGCTTGATGGCCAGCACCAGGCCAAAGTGCACGTGCGCAGCATTGTTCTCCAGCCCCAGCTCCAGCAGTCGATCCAGATCGATTATGGGATCGAGGGGCAGCAGCAGCTGCAGGATACCAATGCGGCCGGCCAGCTGTAGGCTCCAGCAATGGGGCGGACCCTGCTGTCCCCAGGCGTACATGCGTCGCAGGCAGGCGTGCACCGAGGGCGACGAGGCGATGCCACGGGCCAGCTCCTGTCGCTGGTCGGGAGTTAGGGCCTTGTGGTAGCGCACAATGTCGCTGGAGAAGCTCAGCACCTTCACATCGCCGGCATTGACCAGATCGGGATGCAGCGGTGGCAAATCCTGCAGCGCCACGTACAGCAACAGCTCACCCTTCAGCTCCTCAATCTCCATGGGCGGCGACTGTGTGCCACACAGATCCTCGACAATGTGCTTCATGGCAGCGCCCGCACCGCACTCCAATCGGTGCAGATGCAGCCCAAACACCTGGAAGATCTTCGGCGAGAGACGCTCCCTTCGGCACACGTCATAGATGCGACCAGGCGACACCGCGTACACCTGCCGCAGCTCTACAATCAAACTCTCTTCGAGCTGTCCCTGTGCCACATCCTCCAGTATGGCCACCAGCAGCTCCAGCATTCCATTGAACAGAAAGACGCTTCGGCCGAGCAGATCCAGCGTCACTTTTGGCAGTGTCTTTAGCATCATTCGTATGAGATTCGGGCGGCTCCAGCGCAGCCGCCGGTACAGCTCCAACAGCAAACGCTCTCGGCCATGGATACGATTGTGGCTCAGCATTGGAGCAGCCTCTTGGGCGAAGGATGGTGCCTGTAAATTGGAGTCGGAAGTTAGTAGAAGAAGCAATTATCCAGAGTTCTATTAATCGATATTTATCGAACTTATCGATAAACAAAGTTGAAGATTTCAGCGGTTAATAGATAGAAATTATCAAGGATCAATATTTATAGATAATAAATCAAGAAAAATGAACAAGAAATGATCGCAAGCAAAATCATGAGAGATATAAGACTATGAGGATCTGTAAATCGATATTTATCGAGCTTATCGATAAACAAATATGAAGATTTCAGCGGTTAATAGATAGAAATGATCAAGGACCAATATTTATAGATAATAAATCCAGAAAAATGAACTAATTAAAACTGATTTTAAAGATGAAGAAATGATCGCAAGCAAAATCATGAGAGATATAAGACTATGAGGATCTGTAAATCGATATTTATCGAGCTTGTCGATAAACAAAGTTGAAGATTTCAGCGGTTAATAGTAAGAGTAATTATCAAGGATCAATATTTATGAATGAAAAAATCAAGAAAAATGAACTTAAGCTGATGAAATGATCAACCGATTAATTATCGATATTTATCGCTCGATGAAAAAGGGGTTTAGAGCTGAAGAAAACATCTGTAAATCATTCTTGGGAGAGTGCTGCCTACTCACATTTAATCGTCCATGCAGCGCCATCATTTGCACAAGGATGGACCTTAGCCGCACAATCGCATCCTGATCGTCCACGAAATTGCCAAGCACCGCTGCGGCCTTCTCGCGCGTCAAAACATCCGCACAGAGGCTGATTTTCAGCAGATCTGGCACAAAATTGCTGAGCTGCAAAAGAGCGAAGTGAGGATCAAGGCTCGCGATCAAGAATCGTTTCGGGCAGACTCACCTTCAGTGTGGACTCGGCGCCCTCCATCGACGAGGGATAGAGCCGACTGAGCAGCATGAGCATGCTCTGCAAATGAATCTTTTGAGCGCCATGCAGCGTCCGCGGACCGAGTGCGGCCTGGGCCAGACCCCGGCTAAAGTAGTTGTAAAGCTCCGGGTAGCGTGTGAAGAAGATGCGTCCCGTCATCCGATTGCGTATGTGCAGCTCGCCGGCGTCATCGCGCGGCCGTTCCACGCCAAAGACACGAACGACTAGCGTGGCCAGCAGCAGGCTGGCGCTGTTTTGTTCCGCCCAATCGCTAGCCAGCAAACCATTCAGCGTGCAGACGATGCCGCGCGCCACAAACTCACCCACCAGATCGGCCAGCTCGCTGCTGCGGAATAAGGCACGCATTATGTTGAGGGCATGACAGCGAGCGGCGCCCGCCTCACTGGTCTCGCACACCTTGAGCAGCCGCAACATGCAGCGATGCAGCGTGTTGTGGGTGCCCAGCTTCAGCTCTGAGCAGACGAGTGCCTGCAGCATGTAGGGTATGCCAGCACTGCGACGCGTGGGACACAACCGTGATGGGGATTGCTGCTCCTGTTGCTCTTGCTTATCCTGTGGCTCTCCCTGTATCATGTCGAGCGCCTCGTTCACCCAAGCGGCTGGCAACTGATTGAGTGCCGCCGCATCGCTGTGCCAGAAGCGGCGACAGAGCATGCTGAAGCCCACATAGGCCTGCTCGAAGGCGCCACGATGCTTGATCTCGGCCAGCAGTAATAGGAAATGATCACCAATGGCCGTTAGCTGACTGCCGCTCAGCAGATATTCTCCTGCCTCCTGCTGCTGCTGCTCCTGCTCGAGTGGCGAACGTTCCACGAGGCCGCCGAGTATGTTGGACACTTCCTTGATGCTGCGCCAAGCGCAGAGCAGCACCATTTGCGGCGTGGTTTGAATCTGACGCAAGGCATCGGCATCGAGGCGTCGGCGCAGCACATTTGCCACCTGCTGATCCGTCTCCTGGTCACTGGTCTCCGGCAAGTAGCCCTCGGGCGCCACACTGCTCACCACCGGCAGCACCACCTCGCTAATGGCCATGCACACAGCGACCAGATCCTGCACATACTGCCGCCACAGCGGCTCCCGGGCCAGCTCCTTCAACGCCAGCAGCTCGATGAGGTGGCGACTGGCCAGCAGCAGCCCGTACATGGGACTCAGCTTGGCCGCTTCGGCGAGATTTGTGCTGGCCAGGGCCAGTGCCTCGCGCAGCGGCTGCAGCAGCCACTGCAGCGCCGCATAGATGCGCGGCTGATAGCGCACTCCAGGGGGCAGCTGCACCGTCAGCGGCGTCTCCACTTGATCGGCCTGGCAGTGCACCTGCAGCAGATAGGCGCCCGTCAGCGAGTCCGGGGGTCGCAGCGATTGCAGCAGCTCCAACACACGCTCCGGCTGGATGCGTGTGCGCGGCTGTAGCTGCACTAGCAGCTGGGCGGCCACCAGCTTGTTGTGCTCGTAGCTGTCCCAGAGGCAGGCCTCAACGCGTGCCGCCTGGCTGGCGGTCAGTATATCCTTCATGGGCATGTCCAGGCGGCTGCACATCAGCGCACAGCTCTGGAGCAGACGCAGCGACAGCCAACGGCGTCCGTAGTTGGCCGAATGAAAGAGATTGTCGGCCAGCAGGGCCATGAGTGCGCGCAAATAATCCATTTGCTCGGCACCCGTGGCCGTGGGACGCTTCCTGTGCTCCGCCAGGCAGAGCTCAAGGCGTCGCATCACCTTCAGCATGTGGCCAAAGCCCAGCTGCCGTATGTGCGCACTCGGATTGTTAATGTTGTGCTGCAGATAGTGTCCAATAATGTCACGCTCCTCGAGGCTGAGCGGCTCACTGGGCCGTGCCGCAGCGCTCACAAAGCGCAGCGTGAGCAGCCGCAGATGATCGTCCTGCCCGACTAGAGCCTCGCGCAGCCGCTGGCTGTGCGCACCGAGCAGGCACTGCCGCAGCTCATTGGACTCGGCGTTGCGTGCGCTCAGTATGGCCGTCAGGGTGGTGCTGAACGGCAGGGCCGTGTCGTTCTGCAGCCAAATGTGACGCAATGCGCGCGGCTCCTCTTTGACGGCTTGCGTGATCAGCGCCTCGATGGCGGACAGTCGCTTCTTCTGGTTCTGTGTGGCCTCCAGCAGCAGGTCCAGCCATTGATGGCGCCAATCCTCAAAGGATTGCTCCTTGCGCGAGGCCACCATCATGGCTTTAAAGAGCGCATCGACGGCATCCTCCACGCCCAAATGCTCGGGAAAGACGCGTCCAAAGAGGCTGGGGCAATGCCCGATGGCCTCGCGTGCACCCCGAACGCCTACAAGCTTCTCAAGTGCCACGCAGCCAGCATTGAGGCTGTCGCTGCCATCCTCGAAGCGTGCGTAGACCGCTTGAAAGAGCGCGACGTGGCCGCTGGCTTGGCCATGCTGCAGTATCTGCGTGAAAATGCCGCCGCACATGTGGCGCACCGAGTCCGTGGCACTGCAAATGTTGACCAAAGCGAAACGCTGCAATGCATGAAGGATGCGCTCGTAGCCGGGTGACAGATGCGTCACGGGCAGGCCCAAGCTCTTGGAATACGCATGAAAATGCTTGGCCATGTACACGAGCACATTGTTGAGGCTGCCCTCGTGGGCGGTGTGCTCCAGCAGGCGATCGACAATGTCCGCTGCCTGGCTGCCAAAGCGTTGATAGTCCTCCGGCAGCAGCACATTCAGCGCAGCCGCCTGTATGGGCAGGCACTCGATGGGCATGACCCGCGACGACTCATCCAGATACGCCGCCAAACGATCAAAGAATCGCGCATTCTTGCCTATGACAAGGCCAGCAATCGAGCGCACATCCCACGGGGTATCCCTGTGGCGAGCCACCTGCTCGGCAAGCAGCTGCACCGGCTGCAGCGGCGCATCGCTCGGCAGCTGATCGCGCCACTCGGACAGCACACCCACGTGGAAGCGCAGCACATTCTGCACAAACAAATACAGCTCGTTGAGGCGCGTGGGCGACAGCTCCAAGGAGCCATTGCTGCAAGAGCAAGTCCAATTGAAGCCAAAGCACACAGACAAAGACAAGGCCTCACCTGATGTCCCGCCAATAGCGTTCCAGGGCCAGGCTGAGTAGTGGCAAAAAGCTGGACAGCTCGTGGCCCAGTGCCTCGCGGCCAAACGGAAAGTTTTGCAGACACGCATTGGCCGACACAAAGACATCGTTCACCTGGTCGTGACTCAGTGGTGGTTCTGCGGCGGCCACTGTTGCCGCCAATTCACGCAGCGCCTCACGCAGTGCCGCCAACAGTTGTGGCTTCGTGTGCTGTGGATGGCCCAACTGTTTGGCCAGCGACTGGTCCGAGAAGAGTCTGTCAGGAAAGGGTCAGAGTTTGTCATTTTTTGTGTGGTTTTTTTCTGCTTCTTACTTGATCAACTGATTGCGCACGGAGTGCTTGAGCGGACTGGCAAAGAGCACACTAGCCAGAAATGGCCCCACCGCCAAGCGACGGTCCTCCCGCTCATGGCGTGCATAGAAACAATTCCGGATGACAATCACCTGCTCCGCGCTGCTGCTGGCCGTTGCAAACTGCTGCACAAAGCTATGCGATGCTGCAATAAAATCAAAAGCATTTGGCGGCAATCGAAACGCTGGCTGTGTGGGGCTCTTACTCACATCGCTGCCACTTGTGGGGCACCGGCACGAGGGCGTCGCGCAGTTCCGCGAAACGTTTGGGATGGGCACACAGCTTGATTGCTGCCACCCGCAAATTTAATTCGTTCATCGTTCCACCTTTAATCGAAAAGAAATAACAAAAATGGGAATGGGGAATACGGGGAAAGCGAATAACAACAATAAATCCAAAACGCGCCCGGAACAACAGGCAACAGGCAGTTATCGATCAAATGTACCGACAGCCCCTTAATTTCAAAATATACTGTAAATATACCGTAAATCTAAAATCATTTCCTCGACTTAGATCTTCTGTTTAATATTACCAGCTAGTGTGGACTCTCAACTTTAAAACCGTTATTTTACTCAAAACTTCATTCAATTCTCTACAAGACTGACTGATTTTCATGACTTATCTTAATTGAAACAATAGCAAAAAACGAACCAAAAAAATAGCATTAAAAGTAAGGTTGTTGAATTTGGAATGTTGCTGGCCAACCAAAAGTATGGGCACTTGTGTATCCTATTTGCGATACATTTTACCAGCTGCTTTTAAATATTAATAATGACTTTGCCTTAGACTGGCATGCTCTAAACCTTAGTCTAGATACATTCTCAATATCTATAATCTGCAAAATTTCGTTGAGATGGCTCACCAAAACAAATTGATTTGTTTTTGCATTGATTGTTACTAGAGTTTAGCCAAGTTTCCTCAATTCGAGGTAAAATCTCATTGCTGTGATGAAAGAGAGAGAGAGAGACAGGGAGAAAAATCCTTACGGAGAAGATGGAAAATCCTCAAGGGACATTTGAAAAAAAACGTATGGGAGTTTCGATACCCTATATTCTTGAATATACCTTACAAAATTGTATATATGAAACGGATGGAATTCATTAAATATACCATTATATAAAGATATTCCTGTAATATTCAATTAAATCATTTTCGTAGTTAAAATGTCCCCAATAGTAATTAATATACCGTAAATTAATTATACATATAGATATATTAATTACCATACCCTCGCACACACACACACACACTGAGCGCCACACAGAGCAAATGGCAAATGTATCAGTTATCGATAACTTCTCGAATACCGAGATATAAAATACCAAACTTAACCCACATAGGCCCCCGTTATTTGAAACAGCTTAACAGCTTAAAGCCTATGTTTAAATAGGTTTTCTAGATCAATCCTGTTACATTTAAGATCTAGGTTAAAATCTGCAGAAACGAGAGCTGCGTTTGACTGAAGCGTGGATTGACGTCAAACGGTACATGCAAGCGCGTGTTCAGCCAGGAGTCTTGGGCAACGTGTCCTTAAAGCGAAACACCGCTCGTTCGATGCAGTAAATAAATGTTGGTTTATTTCTTTTTGAGACTATTATAAAACTAATACAGGAAGTAACATGTTAGGGGGGGGGGATAAGGTTTAGAAAATTGCAAAACTTATATAAAGGACTTGTTATTGGCATTGCCATTGGAAGCAGCAAACTGCACCAGCGCCTTAATGCGACGCAACAGGGAACCATTGAAGCCCTTGCACTTGACGGTATGCTCTTCACTGGCGGCGATCAGCTCGGCGCAAAAGGTCCCGTTGAAGGTGGAAATGAGATGCTGCTTCAGCTGCAGTATCTCATCGGGTGTGGCATGCAGCACGGAGACGCTGTAGTTGCCGCCAATACTCTCCAGATTGCTCTCATTGATGGCACTGCGATTCTCGCTGGCAAATATCACCGCGTTGCGCATGTAAAAGTCCAAATGTATCCACAGCAAATACAGATTCTGTTCGGCTATAAAGACGGCCAGCATCAGCTCGTTGCGCTTCTCGCTGTGCCGCTGGCTCAGCTCCACGTAGCTTTCTTTGCCTGCAAAACAGAAAAGAGCACTCAATAAAAATCATGCACACGCATGTATGTGTTTCTTTAGCGCCTACCGCTGGGACCGAAGTTAATGTTTGGCAACGAGGAGCGCTGCTGCAGCAGAATATCGGCATGCGACTTCTGCGACAGATAGTAACCTATGGAACCCTTCAGCTGCTCGATAATTGTGTGCATTATGGCCGTCAGCTTCTTGCCATCCGTCTTGCCCGTGCTGCAAATAGAAAACGATTCGATTTGAGTGTGTTATGCAAAGCGTAAGCCAAAGCCAAAGCCAAATCCAAAGCCCCTTACAGTGGTGTCACATCATTGACGATGGTCGTGAGCAGAAACTTGGAGGTGGCGCTGTCCCGCACATGGCTGGTGACGGCATGGCGGCAGTAGAGCGACAGATTGGCGGCAATTTCCAGGAAATACTTGATGTAGCGACTCCTCTGGCTCTGCGGCAGTGACTCCACATGCTGCTGCTTGAGAATTTGGCGAATGGTGTCCTCGGTGACCGTGAAGCGTCCAAAGACCACAATCATCAGCTGCTGCAATCGATTCAATCTATTATACAACTCCAAATCACGCTCCACATCCACGCTGCTGCCTTCCATCTCGTTGCACAGTTGGGGCGTGGAGGTGCGCGAAAAGAGATTTGTGATCGAGGCCAGCTGCTGCAGCCGCCCCAAATCCATCAGCGGGGTGGCCGTGCGCAGCATAGTCTCGACCATTTCGATGTGGGCAAACAGAAAGTTGAGCACCTGCAGCGCCGCCGAATAGTTCTGTGAGCCCAGGCTGCTGAGAATGCCATCGCAGAGGACCAACACCGGCTGGAGTATGGCATGAAAGCGTTCGGATGTGTCCGACAGAAAGCCCTGCGCATCCTTGCGCAATTCGCTGTCCTTCAAATCCGGCTGCAGATCAAACACACGCATATTGGCGAACACACCTAGGGCGCCCTCGGCGAGCAGCAGGCGTGCGCCCGGCCGCGTCTGCGACAGGCGCGTAAGGAAGGCCAAAATTGCCTCGTACACGTACAACTGCCGCAGATTCTCGGGCACCGGCTGGAGTGTGGCGCTAAGCGCATCATTCGAAGCGGCCAGACTGTCCAGCAGCAGCTTGAGATAGCCGCGAGAGACGACAAATTCGGTGAGAGTGCTGACCGCATCCAGTTCGGAGATCATCTCGAGGCAGGCCAGGGCCAGCATGCGGCAGACATCGTGTCCGGTGACTGCATCGTGGCAGATGGAATCGACAAGCTTCTCGCCATAAACGCCAATCACCTCCGAGGCCATCTCCTTGAGGCGATCCTTATCCTGCTCACCCCGCTGATCGTTAACATGCTGCTTGGAGGGCTCCAGTCGTGACGCAACGCTGGGGAAGGAAGCAAATTATTCAAATGGTTGCCCGCTGTGGCTTCAGCTTGGATGCTTACCTCTCATGAAAGTCCACCTCCTCGTCGGTGCGCAGACGCTTCACAATGCGCAGACAATTGAGCAGCGCGGCGTAGAGATTGATGCGCAGCTTCTGTGACCTGACGCCGCTCATCATAATCCACTCGACAATGCGCTTCAGGATGAAGCGCAGATTGCTCGAGTTGCCCGTCAGCATGCCAAAGATCTTGGACTGTGTGTCTTTGCCGCCATCGCCATCGTCGCCGGCGCGCTGATCCTCCAGCTGATAGTAGCAAATGCGCAAATTGGCCAGCAGCAGCAGAATCGTTTCGGTGATCTGTATGGATATCTCGATGAGCGGCTGCACCGGCTCCACCTTCAGCAGCATCTTCTCGATGATGTCAATGATGTACTGACGCCGCAGTGCCGGCGGCAGCAGTGCCTCGGGCATGCTGCTGAACAATATCTGCACCAGCTGACACCAGGCATCGACAAACTTGAGCGTGGAAAAGCGCTCCTTGCGCAGACGGTTCACCTCGACGGCATATTGCAGCAGCACCGTTATCTCTTTATTGATGGCCTTCAGCAGTCCCGTGGCAATGGTGTTCTGCACCATGCGCAACTCATCGTGCAGAATGTCGTGCATTTTGCGTACATTTATCATCATGTAGGAGCTGCTGGTGGCCACACTGCCTGGACTGGGTCGCGGGCGGGACTCGCACTCCTTGAGCAGCTTTATCATCAGGACCGGATCAAAGAACTCCAACCGCGGCTGCTGGGCTGTCGTTGTGGTCTCCTCGAGCACCAGACACTCCAGCAGACGATTCGCATGCAGTCCCTGTGTCTTGTCGGGCAGCGTAACCGACGTGGCCGCCGTCGATGGGCCCATATTCATGCCAAAGCAGCTGGTCGACGCTGTGCCAGTCAGCATGCTGTTGTTGAGGTCCTGCGGCATGCCCGCGTTCGTGCGCTGCCCCTCCGACTGCCCGCCCAGCAGCAGAATGTCGCACAGCAGATTATAGCGCGTCATCTGTCCATGATTCGCAGCCAGATGCACCTCCACGGCCACACAATTGAGCAAATGGCTCATCGCGTGCATCAGATGATCCTCGCGATAGCGTCGGAACGGCATGGCGCTCAAGTGGCGCAGCAAAAAGTCATTGCAGTTCAGGCGAAAGAAGCGCAAAATGGCCTCCGAAGTGCGTCGATTCGAGCACAAGCCCAGGAACAACTGATAAATGCTCTCCACCAAGTGCGCTGTGTGCGGGCAATATTCCTCCTGGCCATGTCGCTGACTCTGCACAACGAATGAGAGGGAGATACAGATAGAGTGGGAGTGGGGGAGTGAAAGAGAGGCAAGATGTGGCACATACCTCGAGATACTTTTCGAGCACCAGCACCAAGGAATGAATACAGCAGCACTGCATCTCGATGCCAATCTGTTGCTTGTCGCGTGCCATAAAATCTCTGAGCACATCGATGCCCAGCAGAAAGTAGACAAAATTTGGCGGCGCTTGGCTTATGTTGAGGCCGAACAGCTGCACGACGGCCGCCTTGATCTGCAGATCAAGACCCATGGGTATTTTCTCGTTGAGCGCCACCACCTCATAGCAGGGACCGAGTGTCCTGTCAGCCGCATCGGCGGCCGTGATCTCCTGCTCCGATTCGGTGTCCGTGAGGTCAACGCTCGGCGGCTGCTGTCCGCCATGGTTGAGCACATCGCCCATGGCCTGATAGTCATTGAGCACAATCGGATCGAGCTGCTTCGCATGCTGCTGGGAGAGGCGTGCGTCCATCTCGAGGCACTCGACAAAGCCCTGACGCACCTCCAGCTTCTCGCTGCTGCCGATACTGTACATGTTGAGGATCTGTGAGGCGACATTCGGCAGCATGGTCACCGCGCTCAGTATCTTGATGGCCGCCAGCGCGTGGCGCGGCAGCCAACTGTTGTAAGTGACAAATTTGATGATTTTCAGCACATAGTCGGCCCGTCGCGTGCGCGGATTAAAGTCCTGGAGCATGCGATTCAGGCCGGATAACAAGATCGAACTATTGGCAGCTGAGTGCGCCTGGAAGAAGGCATTCTGCTTGGCCAGCGCCACCTCGAGCAGCAGCAGGGCATACAGCGCGCACTCCTCCAGTTGCTCCTTGCCGCGGAAGCGCCTGTACTCATCCAGCCGCTCGCGTGCATCCTCAATGATGCGCAACAGCAGACACAACAGATCCGACTTGAGCTGCAGCTGCAGCATCACGTGATAGCCCGGATAGGGATGCTCGTCGCGCAGCTCCACAAAGTCCATGGCCTTGGGGCGGTACGTGGCGAGGAGATAGAACAAAAGCTTCAGCCCCTTGGCGCCCACCTCATACATCTCGCTGGGATCCTTGTACGAGCGATTGTAGAACTTAAGGATTATGGAGTCCATCAGGAAATTCAAGTAAGGATCGTAGCCAGGCTGTCGGGCACCGGCGCCCACGCTGCGCGGCATATGGGTGGTCATGAGAGTGTGCAGCAGCTGCAGCACGCCGCGAGTCAGATTGTACGACTCCAGGCGGCTCTCGTTCTGTTCAATCTCCTCCTGCAGGCTGCACTGACTCTGGCTGGGGACCTGTCCCTGTCCCTGACCCTGTCTCACTGCCAGTCCCAGTCCCAGCGTGGGTATAATCTGTGAATCCTCCAGCTGAAACCAAATGGCACGCGCCGTCTCCTTGGATTTGGCCAGCGCGGCGAGCGTGAACATAATCTCTGCCTTGAGCACCAGCGGTGTGGCGCATGCCACCAGTCCGAGCAGCAACTGCGGCGCCTGCCAGCTGGCATGATCGCACATCATCACGCGCGACACACGATCATGCTCGGCCACCGCACGCATGATGCCCATCAGAGCCACCAGATGCTCCGTTTCGCGCGGAGTTATGTTCCACGGCTGCTGGGCGCGTCGCATGAAATGTTCATTATTCGTGTAGCCATTGCAAGCGCTCATGACGCTCGAGGCATCCGTTAGCATGTGTCTGTGGAGTGGAAGTTCAAAGAAAGTTGAAGACCAGAGTTTGGGCGCCCCACACTAACCTGTAGTAGCTGGCCAATGCCTGAAAGAAATGGTCCCAGCCCATGGAGTAGCTGGACGACGTCGCTGGTGTATTCTTGAGCAGATTGAAGGCGCTGCGTGCCGCCAGTTCGGTGCGCGTGAGGCCCGTAATCATTTTCAGATACGACTTGAACAGCGTTAGGGGCAGCAGTTCGCTGGCCATCGAGATAAACTTGAACAGGGACACGGCCCGTGAGCTGTTTGTGAAGGCAAAGAATTTGCCGTTCTCGCCGGCGTTGTCAGCGTTGTTGCTGCTGTTTGGTGCTGTTATGGCCGCCGTCTCGCTGGCTCCCCAGTACTCATTGCACAGACTGAGGCTTGCGCGGCGATCACCATAGAGACGGGCCACGCACAGCATTAGCAGCTCAAAGTTGGCATCGGAATTTGGAGGCGGCTCGAGGCCTTCATTTAGGAAACTAATCACCGTGCGCGCCGACTCGTCCGCTCGATTGCGCAGCTCTGCCACCTTGGCGTGCATAAAGTCGATGAAGTCGGTGATCAAGAGATGCGCCCGTCTATAAATAAACTCCTTGCTGGCAGCAACAAAGTGAAGAAATTGTTAGCAAAGGATTTAGCTGCCAGCATGTGTCTCAAACTCACTTGTAAATCATTTCATTCTCCAGCAACTGGCGATAGATGAAGCCAAAGACATTGGCGGCGAGGGCCTCGTCCATGAGCTGCTCATCGCGTGATATTAGCGCACTGGCCGGTGCCTGCAGCTGGCTGGGCGCATGCCGCAGGCTGGCCAATGCCAGAGCGAAGCTGTACTTGATGATGGCATCCAGGCCTGGCATCTGCCAGTTGGCCTGCGCACACAGTGCCTCGTGGAAGCTCTTGGCAAACTCTGCATCCCACATAATGGGCAGGCGTGCAGTGTACGGATTAACCGTATCCGTGCTCAGCAGCACGGACGTGTCGTACGAGTACAGCAGCGTCATGAGCATAATCACGGTCACATCATCGATGTTGCCGCCAGCGCTGTTCTCGTTGCCTTTGCAGCCGGCGAGCATTTTCATGAGGCGTATGGCCTTGGCCCGCGGCAGGCCACGTTGGGCGGAATAATTGAAGAGGCTCATGGCGACAGCCTTGCGGATGTCCTCGTACAAGGACAGCACTTGATTCTGATGCTTGGTGGAGCCAAAGGCGCGATTCTTTGTCAGCATGAGGTTCTGTAGAGGGAAATGTAATTAAAGCGATTACAGGGGAAGCGAGAGACTATCCCTTACCTCCTTGACCACATCCATTTCGGTGAGTATGTCCAGCAGACGCCCCAGCAAATTCGATTCCTCCGTCAGATTCTGCACGTAATTATTCACCAACGAAACAAACTGCAAAGCAGGAAAAAACATGTAACTTTATGTTCTGTTGGCGATGCGCGCTCTCTACCGCCCAGAACCTACCTCTTTGGGCAGCTCTGTTAACCAGGACACGCCGCTGATTGTTTGCATCATGTCGCGCAGGGCACAGGCCATGGCCTTGCGGCCATCGTAGTACAGCAAGACGGCAACGAGGCCACGCGTCAGTCCCGGATGATGCATCTGCTGCCGCTGGGCGGTGTACAGCAGCTCAACGGCAAACAGCGGATCCAGATCGAACATTTCCGACAATATGATGGCCTCATCGATCAGATCCTGCGAGAGCAACAGCTTATGGCCCTGGGCGCCCAGTGGTATGCCCTCGCTGATGCCGGCCCTCAGCTGGTTGCGACTTTTCTCATTAGTTGGCTGCAAAGGAGAAAGGTCAGACAGAAGCCAGAGGTTATGTGGCGGGTTGCCTTACCGGATTGCGTAGAAAATTGGAAAAGTTCTGCTTGTACTTCTTGAGGCACTGCTCCAGTTCGCCAATGAGTTCCTTTGGCTGGGCAATCGCCTGTTGCAGTGTGCTGTAGAGATGCTTGTACGGCGTCCACATGTCCTCGGTTATGCCTGTGGTGTGCGAAAAATACACGAAATATGCGAAACAATTTAATTCACCACTAATCCCAGATGACTTCCGCCTGCACATACCATCCATTTTTGCTGTTTTTTTCTATTTAATGCAGCAAATTAAGTTATAAATGCATAAAAACGCGGTAAAATTTTTGTTTTCAGAAATCGGTGCCGGTTTTGCCTATCGAACAGTGTGACCAGTCATGACTAGCTTCGAAATCACTCGATGCGGTTATTCTTTACCAGAATGTATCGTTTTTTGACGACTGGTTTCAGTTCTATCCCCAACAGGAGTCTAGCCCCGTTTTACGCTTTCTGCCATATGTATAACTGCCTTCGAAATGACCTCGGTATATTTTAAGCATGAGATGGTATATTTCGGTATATTTACTAGCTGCAGGTGGTATATCCCATCGATAAATCAGCAGTCACACTGTTAAACTGTTGTGCCGCGCGGGGCGGGGCGTTTTTCGTGAAAATTTACGCACGAAACTTTTCGTAGTCTTTCCCCCAAAAATAGTACACCATTTGTTTATTTTGTTTTATTTTTTCTGTTCAATTGCACACACGAACATAGAATAAAGTATAAAGTAAAACAAAGAAGTAGTATACGCGACAGCTAATATGAAAATACAGTGCAATTGTGTCTAAGGAAAACCCCCTCTGCATCGCATGGCTGTGTTTAAATAAATTGTAGCCAAACAAAATGCAGCAGCAGAAGCAGCAACAAACGGGCTGACTGACGCCGCAAATAGGAATAGAAAAAATTAATAAAGAGGAGTATTGGCAAGGAAAACACATTGCAAGAAGCATAGCAGGAAGAAACCCTTGGGGAAAACGGAGTTGTAAAAGGAACTGCACACATACAAACACTCGTTGGAAAAAAAGGAGTCCAAGGAGGAAAGGCCAAGAAAGAGGCAACTTAACACAAACGCAACTTGCTATTGGAATTGATATTCGAAATTGGAGTGGGAAGTGCAAGTGTTGTGGGTAGTAGAAAAAGGAGTGTAGTGTGTGTGTGTGTGGATTGAGGAGTGGAGTGAGTCGTTGGCAAAGGAGTGTGAGGGGAAGTTTATTGTGCAATTGGGCAACACATCTAACAATAAGAGTGTGAGTGCCGGAGCGAGATAGAGAGCCAGAGAATTGCATGTGTGTGCGTGCGTGCATGTGTGGGTGTAGTTGTTGGCTCTCCCCAGTGCATAAACTTTGCTCGTGCTCGTGCTCCATTCGGCTTCTTCGCCCACGCACTTACCCGAAGCGCAGTGATAGAGAGGTACGGAGGAAGGCGCAGGAAGAGCGGTTTTCAAGAAACAAGAAACTGCATCAAAAGCGAAATGCAAATCGAGCCAACCAACGGCTGAGGCGGCTCAAATTTGTATAAATTACGACGAATAAGTGTAAAACAAGACGGAGAAACCAGCTTCACCTTCTCAATTGCATTTCTTCAACAATTTTTGTGCAATAAAAAAAAGCCAGCGATCGCACAAAAGGCTCACACAGAGAGAGTGCAGAGCAGAGAAACATATATATAGAGAGAAAGAGAGACAGAGAGCAGTGACAGCAGACAAAGAGAGCACACTCGCTCGCTTTTACAGCTGCAGTGCCCTGCTCGTACTCCTACACACAAAACACCACCCGCGCTCCCTCCGACCGTCCACACTCTCTTCTTCTGGTAATATGGATTTTGGCGGTCTGGCAGCCCAACAACAACTATTACAGCAACATATACTACAACAACAACAGTTACATCTGCAACAACAGCAACAAAATCTTGAGGAAACAACAGCAATAACAAATGTAAGTATCGTAGCCTTTTCTGTCTCACTTGAACACACGGTTAATGCATATGCGTGCACGAGTGTGTGTTATTTCTCTCTCTTCATTTCTTTTATACTTCATAAATCGCTTCCACACACACGCACAAAAAACAACAAGAAAAGCACAATGCATCGCTGCTAATGCTGTTTGCTGCTGCTGTCTTTTGTGCAGTTTATTGGTTTTCTTGTTAGATTTCTGTGACGCTGACGTTGGCAGCGACCGAACTTGTGTGTGTGTGGGCGGGCTTTGTGGAAGGAGTCTTGAAAAATGGTGGGGGTGGGGTTAGGGTTTGACATAGGTAATTGAAAATAATCCCCATTCGGTGTTGTAAAAGGCACAGAGATTTTAAGGGAAAAGAAAATGAGTCAACGCTGAAAAGTCCAATCAGAAAGAAAGACATGCCGATGATTAATCTCTGGGCCATCTGCGATGTCGGTGATGCTACTCTTACTCTGCTCTGCTCTGATCTGCTCTTCTCTGCTGCCAAGAACAAGAAAGTGCCGACATTTTAATTGCGGTACTAACTTTTGTGTTTCCCCTCATTACTTTCACCATGCATAAATTCTAAAGAGGGTGAAGGAAAAAGACTCAAGAGAAAGAAAGAAATTAAATTGTTTATTCAAGTCCAACAGCAAAAGCAGCAGCGCAGCAGAAACAACGCAGTTGTTGCTTCCTTCTTTGTTTCTGCCGAAGCAGCAGCAGCAGCACAGCTACGCGGTCGCTGTCGTCGTCTCTTTTCATTTAATTTTTGATATATCCAAACCAAGTGCTCAGAAACTCTTCGCTTTGCCAGGCAGTTTGTTCGAAGTACAAGCCAGAAGAATTTGAACTTAATTTGAACTCAAAAAGTAATGCAAATAAGGTATCTTTTAATTGAGAAAAAGTTGGGGAAGTATCAAAAATTGTAATTTTAGGGTGTTTACTATTCGATATCGCCCATCGTATTGCAATACTCTTTAGTTTCTGTTTTCTTTCGCCTTTTGCTACGTGACTGCAATAAAATTTAACTGCAATTACGTGCTGCCTGCACACACACTCGCATACTTGGTTTTGAGGGATTCCTGAATTCTGAATGCGGCATGCGGCATGCAGCGATGCGCGATCCTGTTCTCTATCCACCTCAAGGATGCTGTCCTCCCAGCAGGACATGCGGCCTGTCCTTCTATGTGCGTGTCTAATTTGTTTAATTGTGCTGACTGTGCGAAAAAAAACAACCGAAATTCTACAAAAAAATTGCAGTCCGTGCCTCCTGGACCTTTGCCAAACTCTCTGCAGCCCCTATGGTCAGGCCTGTGCAAGGCACATTAAGCAGAAGGTAAATCCATGCGAAAGATGTGCCTCTGCTTACAACATAAAGGTTACATTCTAAATTGATAGAACTTATTTATATATATTTTTGGGATTGAGCGTCGATTTCTTTGTGAGCTGCAAGCTACATACTATGTACATATGTAGCTCTAAGAAAGCGTATTCCCTTCTGCTTCATATACCTTGGCCTTGGCAGCAACGGCCGGCCAACTTAGCAGTGTTGCCAATATCTTTCTTTAGCAAGATTAAGCTAGGTTACAAAACTATAAAAAAACTGGAATTGCCAAGAGGCAGGAAAGAATGCTAAAATAAGTTCCCGATATTTTTTTGTAAATACATACAAGTTATCTGCACTATTTCTTTCTCATCAAATTTATCAACTGGCCAACAATGAAAACACAATCAAAGTTCCCTCTGCCCGCTGTTTGAAAATTTGAATTGAAAAAAAAGCTAGAAAAACAGGAAAAAGGCTGATGGGGCATCACTGCTGCCCAGCGAGCCAACTTCGTCCGTCCGTTCAAAGTGAGCAGCGCTCTCGCATTTACAGTTCGAATTCGGCCGACGCGCGCATAAGACGTATGACAGCACCAGCACGACCAGCAGCAGCGGGGAGTAGTACACGAAAAACGGGACCGCAAAGATAAAACTTGTGTAAAAAGAGCGCGCGCGGAAATTGAAATTCACAATTATTTCAGTTTATTTTTCTGTTTTTATTTTTTGATTTTGCGTTACGTTTTAAGCTCGTTTTGGTTTTGTTTTTTTTGCTGTGTGTGCTGTTGTTGCGTCGTTTATTAAGTTCCTTGCAACAACACAACTGTTGTGTACATACAAATTGTATATATAGAAGTGAAGCATTTGTGGGTAAATGAAGCAATAATTAAAAGTGCCTTTTGTTAATTGAGAAAAGTGGAAGAAGTGGAAAAAAGGGAGCAGAGAGCAGAAGCAACAGCGGGACGTAATCGTTCGAAGTGGTAAGAGGAATAACAGACAAGAAAACAGAAATACCGCCGTCCAGCTGGCCCACGCACCCCTTCCCTTGCTCAAAAGCACCGTTTTTTGACGAGAAGTAAACGCAGAGTTAGTGCCAGCAGAGACAGCGGCAGGGAGATTTGTTTGTTTTTGCTTTTGGCAGTTAATGTTAATGCGTTTTCGTTTTGTCTTTGCCTCTGCAATAGTGGGGTGCCGCCTGCATGGACAGAAGTTTATTTTCTTTAATGTTCAATCGAAATGGTGGAAGGAACGGAAAGAGATAAAGGGATGAAGAGTATAGCGGTCGGTGGAAGAGGGAAAATCAGCTTTTATTGCTGTTTACTTCGTCTTCAATTTCTGTGCCTTATCTTTGTTTATTCCACAGACTCCTCTTCATAGTAGTAGTAGGAGTAGTAGTAGTTTTCTTTTTGCTCCATTCAGCATTTTCGTTTCCTCTGTCCCACAGCCGTCTGCTGGTGCTGCTGTTATTTTGGCTCTTTGCCGGCTTTTATGTCGGCTCGACTCGTTTGTGCGTCATCATCTGGCTGCACCCCTCACGCTCTCACCCGCATCGCTGACTCGACTAAAACTTTGTGACTCCTTTGGTCGATGATGTCGGGGTCCTTTCCTGTTCCCACTGTTCCGTTTCTCAGACCCTTTTAATTGCTTCTGCACGTTCGTCAAATATTTGCTCAACTCTTTTTAATTACATTGCCACTATACACACGAACGAACGAACAGCATACGCACATTTGTACCATTTACCCTTTCACACGCGCACACACACACGCACACGCCGAACAGATTGTAATTGCAGATCTGTCATACTGTCTCGCTCCAACACTCACTGCGATTGCGGGGAGTGCATTTGTTCTTGCATTTTGCACAGTGTGACTAAGAAGGAAATTCGTGGAAACTGCAGTGATTGATCTAATGGATACCGGAAATGTTGTAAAGCGAGAACTAGACTCTGGTTTCCAGTGGGTGCAAAAATGAAAAGCAAAACAGAAAGCAAAAAAAAAGAAGTGAAAAGCTTGCACTAGACCCCGCACAGTGGGTGATACAATGGATTCTAAAATGTAAAAAGTTGACATGTATGTAGATTAGGTACA